TATATTATTGTAGTATATTATTGTAGAGTTATATTCTCTTGCAATATACTATTATAGAAATGTGTACTATTTGAATTATACTGCAATAAACTGTATAATACAACAATATACTTTTATAGTATATTGTATCTTGAAGCAGTATATTATTGGGTAATTGTGCTTGTGCTTTTAAAGAGCTTCAAGTTAAACTTAATAGTGGGTCTTCAAAAATTCGATCCCAATTATCTTAAATCAGCTCCAAATACGATCAAATTTTATTAGTATAAACTTTTTTAAGGTACAATAGATAATATTTTATAACACACACTTCGAATAAAATAACAAAATCTTAATTCATATTAAAGTGCTTCAGGCTCAACAATGGTAGGTCTTCAAATACACACAAAAATCATATCTAGAAATTTGAAAAAACGACTTCAAAAAGTAAATCTTTAAAATTTTCATTTCACCATAACACAAGAAGTGCAAAATCCAGTTTGTCGTTTGTGGTCTTTTAGATCTCTATGCATTCCATCGTTTCACCGAAAATTTCTTCTGCTCCTGCCGTACTCTAGCTTGGAAGTTTCGATCACGAATAGATAGGCGGTTAGGGGGGGAGAGGGTCGGCCGGGCTTGCCTTTTCAATCAATCTCCGACCACTCAATACAAATTAAAGAGAAAAAGGGAATAGGTAGGCCGTATAAAATTCTTGGGATGCATAAGTAGAAAGTATAATCAGATAGGCAAAATCGAATAATAAAATTAGCCCAGATAGGCATTTAATGTTATTTCCTTTACTGGGTTCTAAATTAATAGTTTGTACATATTCAATGAACTTCTTAAGATAAATATAGAGTCTAGCCAAAGCTATTGGATTCGATTGAACCCATAATCGAAGAGCTAGCTCCGCCCATAATAATATGCAGTGAATAATATAATCAAAAGAGAATTTAAATAATATACACTGTCAATTTAAATAATATTTTACACTATCAGGTTATCTAAATGATTTATGTAATTAAGCCTCCTTAAATTGTAAAATTTATAATCTTAAAAATAAAAATAAAAATTACCGACTATAACTAGTAAATATAAAATGACGGTGTAAAAATATTTAAAAGAACGATGTATATTCCTTAAAAACTCAATCAAGAGGGGTACGGTACAAGTTCATTTGAAGCTTTGACGGTCTAGGTCCGAGGGAGTCCTTTTTGGGCTAGAACGGGAGATGGGGATAACCCTTTGATATTATTGGACCTTAAAATTTTGTTTAGCTTTATTTACTATGCCTGTGTAATATTTAAGTTAATTATCGGTTATGACTTACACATATGTGCCAATTTTCTTGAGGAAATGACAAACTAATAATTAAATTTAAGTAGATGCAATATAGATGAATTCAGAATTTAGAGTTAGTAAATTCAGAATTAGCGTGATTTTAATATATGTATACATTTTAAATTTATTTTTGCATATGTTATAGTATAATTTAAGCCAAAACACGTATCCGCCTTAGAATAGAGAGGTCTCTTTCATAAACTTTGGGCAGTTTGCCTGACAATTTGCACGTCTGCTGCATGCATGCCCGTGACCAACCGCATCTCATGCCTTAATTCCTTTGCTTATGGACAAAACAATATAAACTCCAACTAAGGTTCACGAGCTTCTTCTATTCATGCTTTCACACTCAAAATATCCCTCTTCCAATATCTTGTGATTTGATTTCCACTAAAGGCTAACATAACATACATTTGTTAAATGTAAAAATTATCCTATTCCTTTAAAATTGTAAGGAGTAGAGAAGACATTTTGTTCTATAACTTCTCGGGTACGCCACGAATGACTCAACATCAGTGTCAAGCTCGTGAATTATTCAAGAATCATATTTTGAACCGGTAACTATAATAGATAAATGGTGATATATTCGAAGTTTAATTTAAAGTCTTATTTTAATTTGAGGTCATATTACTTAGGATAATTTGAGGTTATATTCTTGAAAAGCTTTAAAGCAAAGCAATGGTATTAATGTGAAAAATCATGTAACAAGTCAGGACAATGATAAACTGATAGATATGGAAAATTTCGATGGACCAATGGAATGATCGGAGCTTGAACTTGTCATCTTTTATTCAGTTAGTTTATGCTGCAAATATTGACTTCTCTTTAGTCCTTTTTTGGATCATAGCTTGCTAGCTACTGTACTATTACCCCATAAATTACCAAAAAGAAAAAGAAAAAAAAACTCACGTGAATTCTTTAGTTTCACCAATAATTTCACACACTTTTAATTCCCACCCCAAAATCCCTAACTATACACCCTTTTGGATCTATATATACATGTTTCACCACCCTAGTTGTCATTGTTATAAAAACTTAAAGTTATGGCCTTATCCATAGCCACTTTCCTCTTCATCACTCTTCTTTCTACAAGATGTTCAGCTTCTGATTCTTGTGCTTCTTCCAAAGGTAATTCAGACCTTTCAATCATTCACATTTATGGCAAATGCTCACCCTTTAACCCACCTAAACCTTCCTCTTCATTTCTCAATACTGTTATCAACATGGCCTCAAAAGACCCACAAAGGCTCTCTTATTTATCCAGCTTAGTAGTATCCAAAAAGCCCACTATTGTGCCCATTGCTCCAGGCCAGAACCTCTTCAATATAGGTAATGATAAATACTGTCTACTATACTCAAGGGTAGCTTAGTCTTCTCAATTATCTGATGCAGTTACTATTTGGAGAATCAAACGATTTCTTTTTATCAACTTTTCCATACGTCTTTTATAAATATTGTGAACTAGGCGGATCCACCTTGCGACCTACGGGTTCACGTGAATCTAGTAGCTTTTGTTAAATGTGTTCAAAAAATTTACTAAATATCTATAAATATTTGAATGTGAACTCAATAACTATTGAATCCTGGATCCGCCTCTATTGTGAAATGTTGTACTTTTTATCTAAATATGTAAATTTTATTTTAAAAAATGTGAAAGATTCTGTCTGAAACAGAAAATTAGATAATTTGAGCCTGAATCATCTCACAAAAAATGGAACGCGAAGGCAGTATGCATTTATTCAATATAAATACCCCATTGTACATGTAATTCACATTATCAATGCTACACATTGTTACAGGTAACTATGTTGTCAAGGCAAAGATTGGTACTCCAGGCCAGCTTATGTACATGGTCTTGGACACTAGTAACGATGATGCATGGGTACCATGTAGTGGTTGTGTTGGGTGCACATCAAATACTTTGTTTGCCCCAACTACTTCCTCTACTTACGGGTCGGTAGACTGCTCCGTACCCGAATGCACTCAAGTCCGCGGGCTCTCTTGCTCGACTACTGGGTCGGGATCCGGGTCAAGTGCTTGCTTCTTCAACCAATCATATGGTGGAGATTCATCGTTCTACGCCACATTGTCACGTGACTCACTTGGACTAGCCAATGATGTTGTTCCAAATTATGCTTTCGGGTGCATTAGTGCTGTATCTGGAAACGCAATACCGCCCCAAGGGTTGTTGGGTCTGGGTCGGGGCTCCATGTCGTTACTGTCATAATCCGGATCTCTCTACTCGGGCGTATTCTCGTATTGTTTACCAAGTTTTAAATCGTATTATTTCTCTGGATCATTAAAACTTGGACCCCTGGGTCAACCCAAGAATATCAAAACTACCCCATTACTCAAGAACCCACGCCGACCATCATTGTACTACGTGAACTTGACAAGTGTAAGTGTGGGACGAATTCAGGTTCCCATTAGCCCCGAGCAACTTGGTTTTGACCCGAACACCGGTGCAGGCACCATAATTGACTCGGGGACGGTCATAACCCGATTCGTCCCACAAGCTTACAATGCAATCCGGGATGAATTTAGGAAACAAGTGAAAGGGCCATTTAGCTCCTTGGGTGCATTTGACACATGTTTTGCATCACCAAATGAAGCAGGGGCACCAGCCATCACATTGCAGTTTGAGGGGATGAATTTAAAGCTGCCAATGGAGAACACTTTGATACACAGCAGTGCAACTCCTTTGGCATGTTTGGCAATGGCAGCAGCACCAAACAATGTGAACTCAGTGTTGAATGTGATAGCCAATTTACAGCAGCAGAACCTCAGGATTTTGTTTGACACTGCAAATTCTCGCGTGGGAATTGCTCGTGAACTTTGTAATTAATTAACTAGATTACAAAGAAACATGTTGTTATCAAGTCTGCTTTAATTTAATTTTTTTTTTATGTGTTGTTTAATTTGGAAGAGAAAATACACTCTTCAATTTAATTATCTGAATGTTCAATAAAATGTAAGTCCCCTTGGTGAAAAAGTTCATCAAGTGCAATTCCCTTGTCTGACAATTTGAAATGGTCGTTACATTCAGCAATATAATGAAATGATTTGGAGTATAATTTATCTTTAACTTTTTAATTAGAGTAAAAATAAAATAGCAGTGCATTTAGAATTTCTACTTAATATATACTATATAGTACTACTAGATATCAAATTTGTCAAATTTGTACGGAATTCTCTTTTTCCTGGCTTATTAGACTTTAATTGGTTTAGTTTTTTCATGTGTTGTGTGCCTTTTCATATTCCTAATAGAAAATTACAAAGGAATTTATCACATGAAAGGAGGACTATCTGGTCCATTTAATTATTTAATTAGGAAGAAAAGTAAAGTTTACTTCGGTCTTTAAATTGTCTAAAGGGATATTATAGAACTTGATCCCATGCACCGACAAGAATTAATTTAGCATCAGCATGTCAATTTCCAATTATTAGACAAAGCAATGAAAATTCTTATTGTATATATAACTATGTCTATGTAGAATTGTACGAACTAACAATGAAAAGGAAAACATGATCACTAACAATGAAACTTCCATTTTTAAACAAAGAGTATTTGTCTTTTTTTCTCTTTTTAAAATTTCAAACTGCTAAATTAACTTAAACATGACTAATACACGATGAAAAAATAATATATATAAAATAAAAAAAGGAATGAATGAGCAAGAATATATAAGAATTACATCTACATATCAGTTTATATTATATATACCCCATTATCATATTATTTTGCTCAAAAGTAATACATGATCAATAAACACTAGCAAGTGAATACACACAAAACCAATAAGCAAAGTTAAAAACCTCATTTTCTATTTTGCTCACCCCACCTATCTTTTAATTTATTTTTTACAATTTTTTATCAACCCCACCATTGGTGCACAGCAATACCCTCATCTCTCAACAATCCATACAATGCTAAGCATTCCCAATATGCTCTCCTATTTTTCTTATCACCTTTTTTCATTCCTTGATGTTTACATTCCAAGAAAAGTTCATCAATTAACCTAATAGCTTTGTTTTTCACCAATTCCTCAACCACATCAGCCTCAGCTTTCATTACCACATACTCACTTTCTTTTACATTATTTTTTAACCAATCAGACATGCTAATAATCATTGGTATCTCCTTTCCAGATGATTCTTTTGTCACTGTCTCAATCTTGAATATCTCAAATTTTGTGTTTTTTGTAGGATAGTATTTTGAAAACCAATCTGATCCTTCATTCTTGTCTTGTAAACCAACATCAATAAATACTCTTCTTGGATAATTTTCAAGGGAAACACCCATTAAATCTGGTAAATAACGAGTCCGTTTTAAATATCTACTTGATTTTCCTGATGCTGCTCTTGGTGGTTCAAGTAGTACATCTTCTAGTTTCTTTAGTGCTGCCTCTTTTGCATTTGTTTTCTTCGCTTTAGGCATCCGATGTTCAAAATCAGCTGGTCTGATCAATTTGAATTCGTGCAGGCTTGGCCGACTAAGGGAAGTAAAGTGTTTCCTACCAAAAAGCTTTTCATTCTCAGGATTCAGACCCGAGGCCTCTCTTGCATTTGTTGTAAGAGAATTACAAAGCCGTCGTTTGCTAGAAGAGCTGATAGAGACATTCCTTGTTTTCCTCATGGCTACAATAGTTGAATCAAATTTTCGTACATAGACAATCTTATAATTTGATGGCTGTGGAAATTCAGCCATTGGATTGTTACTAAGTGGTGCAACTACAATGCCACCTACTTTCAAAGCTCGTTCAATAAAATTTGAGGACTGAGGGAAACCATAGGAAAATACAAAGTCAAAAGTTTCATTAGGAACAAGATCTTGTCGTGTCGAATCTGAAAAAGAAATCAAATCTGGATTGTAATCTTTAACAATTTGAGAATTGTAAATAACTTCCTCATTGCCACTGGTTACAAGAAGGGATCTATCGCCCATTCTTAAAAGGCCTTCATTTGCCAAATCTCGAAAAATTATAGGCAAAAACTCCAAATTTATTGGATTAAAAGCCATCTCATGAACTTTGAAAGCAGAATTAGATTCGCAGCGCGATAAGTACCCGATTATCGTATTAATCCAGGGCAAGGAAACAATTACCAATGCTAAAATTGTTGCACGAGCCATAAACTTCAAAACCCAAGAATGGTCTAATCTTATAATAACAAATTTTGTGTCCCCATGGTAGCCCAAACCATCTATGTATAAACCTCTCATTTTGTTATGTTGCTTGGTGTAAAAACTTGGCAACATATCATTCATCGTTATGTACCTCATGTTTGTATAATGTGACAAGTAACAAGAAATAAAAATGAGCACGAATCACGAAAATTCTTGAAATTTTTTCTTTAGAAATCAGAAAGAAGGTTTCAGGTGCATGCAAGCTAGCCAGACACTTCGGTCGTAGAAAGAAGATTGAAAAACGTTCGGGGGAAGGTTGAAAAAAATTAAAGCTAGAGTAAAGAAGAGTGAGCTACAATAATGGAGAGAATATGAATATTATTTTAGCGAGTGCAAAACCTGGCAGCTGTGTGATTTCCACCCACGAGGGCAACTCGAGTACTTTGCACTTTTGTCCACAATAACAACAAATCTTTTAACCTCTGAATTTCCATTTGTCAATACTAATACTCTCCTTCCTTCTATAATTTCCAGATCGATGACTTCTATTTGGAATATTAACACTACTCCATGATCCAGTTTAACGATACATTGGAAAAAACTCCAATAATATTTTGGTCATCGATCAGAAAAAAAGAAGGAAGGAGGAGGTTAAGAGCAAAGACTATTGGATCTTAATTTTTATTCTATTTATTTTTATTTTTTTTCCTTTTATACTTTCTAATGCTATTATTTCTTTCTTTATAAGGCTATAGAAACTAATATAGCACAACGAGGGTATGGATTCAAAATGATGACGATTGGCTATGCGGTTATTTCTCTTTAAAGGAATGGTGAAATATTTTCAATTTTGATGGATGACTTTCACCCTTCAATCTTGACCAGAATCAACAAAACATTTTTAAGAGGTTTGGATTAGTATTTCATTCACCAGCTCTTTACTTGCAAGATCTGTTATCATAAATGAGAGACAACAAAATATCACCACATAAGCATATTGTTGAAGACATAATTAGATAAATAAAAGTATATTTTTTTAATAGTTTAAACTTTTGAATAAGTAGTAACCAAATATAAAAAAATTTGCTTCTGTTTCTCTTGAGAAATTTATGAAATTGATTTAAAACGTGGGATTATCATAACATTTGAACAAAATAAGATATAAAAATAAAATAAATTACGAAGTGAGACAGTTGCAGTGTTTCAAATTTTTCAATACTCACATTAATTAGATACTAGTATACGTACCCGCGCGATGCGTGGATCGATTCAAAGAAGAAGAAAAAGAGCGGAGAGATAATAAAAACATATGTATATTGTAGATTAATTTTAGCGATCGCGATCAAAACAATTAAAACAAAAAACAAATAGATGAATTTGATCGTGTTGTCTCTATATTATTATTGCCAAGGGCCACCGATCCCAAGTAACTCGTTAAAAAATGGCCTGAGCATGAAATATTTGATCTTCTTTTTGATCGGTAAAATATTTATTCCTCATTATGAGTTATAAAGTAATAATAATAATAATAACAATCTATCAAAAAGTTTAATTTCTTCGTAAGGCGAAAAATCAACTAACTCATTTAGCTTTGCTAATTTATCCAGCGGCTTGCCACTAACTTTTAATAAGCTACTTGACAACAACAACAAAAATTAAAGAGAGACCAAAAAAAATACTCCTACTAATCCATAAGGAGTTAAAGTATGCCTCTACATTAGTTGTTGAAATAAATCGACCAACTTACTTGAATTAACATCAATAGAATTTTCAAGAATCTCAATTATCAGGGGGTTAAATTGGATAAGAACTACTTCATTATAGTCTGTTATATTAAAGGTTATAGTCTGCTCTGAATCTTGTAATCACAAAAGTTGCTAGTGGCATCTGGAGCCTATCTAATATCAAAGAATAGATGTAACTGGAGAAAACGAATCTCTAGTAAATTATCCAACATTTACAATTGTCTTTCCGATCCTTTCTTCGTCAAGGATATCGACTAACTCTGGAAGAATAGTACTTGTTTGCAAGAAATACTCTGCAATTTGTAAAAAGCAAAAAATGTGATTAAAGGACAAATAATATAAGACTACATTTGCAATCCACTCTAGAATATAAGATTTACATCACCCTCGTCTATTTGGAATACTAAAAACATGAAGCAAATGAATTGCTTTAATATAAGTCAGCAGTTGCTGCTACAACCGCAATATCTTAAATCAGGAATGTATAGTTACAGCCTACTATTAAATTCATATCTTAATAAGCAATTCCTCTTTCAGGAGAAAAAAGAAAATTAAAACAAAAAAGTAAACATAAGCTTTTAGCAGGAAGTTATATTTCTTAAATCTTATTGATCGAATACTCTGTTTCAACTACCATTCACTATCAATTATTTATTACTCCTGTTAGAACAATGATAAATTAAGAGGCATAAAACAATAAAAGATTTTAAGTCAAACAACTCCTATAAGTATTTAATGTTTGAAGAATAATGATATTTCCATGTAGCTTCAAACCTTTCCTACGGCTAGGCGTTTCTTAATAGTAGCAGTGCAATTTTAATCCCTGTACTGCTATAAATATTTTTGTGCTGCTTCTACAGATCAAAAATAAAACAAAGGGCAACCCTCTTTTGTACTGTTTTACTTAGTAATAGTAATGATGCAAGCCAAAATAAAAAAGAGATTCATAAAGAACACCCAAAAGTAACATAATTTCAGAATAAAAAGTAATATTTTTAGTACCTATACAGATCAAGGATTGGACTATACACAAGTATTTCCTAAGTAGCTACAATAAAATGCCATGCTGGCTTGTAGTAAAGTGAAGCTGCAAACCAAAACATCCTTGTATATGTTTCTAAGAAGATAAAGAGAAGGAGAAAGAACAAATACATTGGATAGCATAGTAGAGGGAGAATTCACAAAAACATCTTTAATTCTTCAAAGATCACAAGAGAAAGAAGACTCCTCCGAAAAGAAAGCAACGACAACCAATGAGATTCAAGTCTCCACTGAAGGTCTGATTCCCGTTGAGAAATTAAAGGAATTCATCATGGAGGCTATCAAAGATAAGCCCGAGTCGTCCAAATTATCTCTCACATATGCAAAGTCGTACACGCAAAGAATCGATAACTTGAAGATGCATGTTGGTTATCAATCTCCTAAGTTGCAACAATTCGACGGCAAGGGAAATCCGAGACAACATGTAATACACTTTGTTGAAACTTGCAACAATGCTGGAACGTATGGCGATTATCTTGTCAAACAGTTTGTGCGATCTCTCAAAATTAATGCATTCAATTGGTACAGCGATCTCGAATCTGGTTCCATCAATAGTTGGGAGCAATTAGAGCAAGAGTTTCTCAATCATTTCTATAGCACAAGACGCATCGTAAGCATGATCGAACTTACAAACTCTCATCAACGAAAGGATGAGCTAGTTATTGACTTTATCAACCGCTGGAGGAGCTTAAGCCTCAACTGCAAAGATCGCCTTAGCGAAACTTCTAGCATCAAAATATGCATTCAAGGCATGTGTTGGGGTCTTCGCTATATCTTACAAGGCATAAAGCCCAAAACATTTGAAGAACTAGAAACTCGTGCTCACGATATGGAACTAAGTATGGCTACAAGTGGAAACCAAGAGTTGCATGTCTTTGAGTCTTACGACGAAGAAGAAGAACAAGAAGGAGAGGATGGGGGGGAAGTTTTCATCTGAGAATGAAATCGAAGAGTCTATGCATGTCACTATGCTTCTTGACGCATGAGCCTAAACAGTAAGTCGTAACGCTCCTTAACGCACGAGCCTAAATTGCAAGTTATAATGCTCATCAATGCACGAGCCTAAACTACAAGTAATAATATTTCCTGGAACATGAGCCTATATTGCATGTCATGAAGCTCTCCAAATTTGAACTAATCTTTAAGACGTAAAGCTCTTCAATTTCAAGCAAAGTCTTCAAGTTGTAAAGCTCTTCAAAGTTCAGCAAAGTCTTCAAGTCGCAAAGCTCTTCAAATTCAAGCAAAGTTTTCAAGTCTCAAAACTCTTCAAATTCGAGCAAAGACTCAAGTCGAGATCTCTTCAAAGTCGATCAAAGACTTCAAGTCACAAAGCTTTTCAAATTCGAGCCAAACTTCAAGTTATAAAGCTCTTCAAATTTGGCTAAATCTTCAAGTCACAAAGCTCTTCAAATTCGAGCTGAACTTCAAGTTGCAAAACTCTTCAAAATTGAGCAAGTTTTCAAGTTGCGAAGCATTTCTAACTTTAAGCTAAATCTTCAAATTACTACGCTCTCGGACGCATGAGCCTAAACTGTATGTCATGAAGCTCTTCAAATTTGAGCAAAATCTTTAGGTTGCAAATCTTCTCAAAATACAAGCTTAAATTGCAATCCTTAATGCAAGAGCATAAACTGTATTTACTCCTGACCCGCAAGAGTATAAACTGTGTACCGCCTAAAAAAAATTCGCTAGGTTGAAAATCTCAAAAGAGGCGTCCTAGGTAAAAGTTAGGACATAAGAAAAACTCACATATTCTAAACTATGGTATGACTTGATCCTCTTCACCGAGGTACGTAGGTAGCTTAGAGTTTCATTCTAAGTTCAGTCGCGTGAGTTCAAAAGTTACATAGTGCCCCAATCGTTGTTCGAATGAAGTATGATGGAATGTAATCCATTCAATCAACACTTGAAAATCGGGCTGAAATACCATTCTTCTATTGAACTTTGGATCCCATTTGATTTAAAGGGGGCAAGCCTCTATGAATAAATTGGTATCTGCAATGGAATGATTATAGTCTTTTAGGAGGCTACCAAGTATTTGCAATGAAGCCGGGAGATACGTTATGCCTTCGGGTTTGCCAAACCTTCAAGTTATTGGTCTTCCAGTTTAAGTGTTTAATTCCTGCAAGTCTTCAAGTTGAAGTCTTCAAATCCGTCAAGCCTCCAAGTTGAAGTCTACGAATCTCCAAGTCTTCAAGACAACCCATCTTCTAGTTAAAATCTTTAGATCCGCCAGTTTCAAGTTGAAGTCTACAAGTCCACCACCCTTCAAGTTGAAGTTCATCGGTCTTCAAGTTGAGTTGTTTAAGCCCTCCAAGCCTTTAAGTTGAAGTCTACAAGTCTGCTAATTCTTCAAGTTGAAGTTTAAAGTCCACTGCTCTTCAATTTGAAGCATCAAAATCCACCAAATTTTCAAGTCCGTCAAATCTTCAAATTTGTTGGTCTTCAAGTTGAAATATACAAAGTCCACCAAGTCTTCAAGTTGTAGTTTTCTAATTTTCAATATTAAGGTGGATGTTGCAGTCCCTTTGCACCTTAAGTTGACCTCTTCGCGGATTTTTCTTAGAAGGAACTATAATTTTTCCGATCTTAAGGTGGACGTTTAAATCCCTTTGCACCTTAAGCTCGTCTCATCACAGATTTGATCATTCTATATGTTGTTGAGAATTTGTCCTTTCTATTAGTTGTCATGGGTTTGTCCTAGTATAAGCTGTTGCGGGTTGATCCTTCTATATGCTGTTGAGAATTTATTCTTCTATCTGTTGCCCAATTATATCTGTCTATATAGTGATGTCGATTTGGCCATCTATATAGTGATGTGAATTTGTCTGTCTATATACTGATTGGAATTTGTCCGTCTATACGGTGATGGAGATTTGTCCGTCTATATATTGGTATGGATTTATCCGTGTATATGGAAATGTGAATTTGTCTGTCTAT